CCTTTTATAAATTTCGATAGAACAATGAGAAGACGGAGTTGATCCGAAAAATGTGATGTATTTGCGCTATACATTTCGAACAATCTGGTCACACATACTTGTCAAGGCATTTTTATATGAAAATTAATAAAGGTCAAACAAATAAAAGTACAGTTAAAATAACAAACATTTGTTTAGTCTAATGGCTGTAGCGAATTGGTACACTTGAATAAATGTAATAGTTGTTTTTCTAGGTGTCTCCCGAGCTCCCAATTTTGGGGAAAATTTGACCCATTTTGGAGAAGCCGCTATAGTGAGCTTTGGGGAGATTCCCCTTTGACCTTGGTCAAGGTCACTTAACTCTGGGGATTTCCTCGAAATTTCCTCAGAATTCCCCAAACTTGGGAGCTCGGGCTGTATCTTAACTGTTATTTGTTTTTATCTCAAACTGATGATCTGTGCTGTTGTCTATTTAAAAGTGTTTATTAGCTGCAATGTGTGGAATTTATTGTGCCACTCACAAACTTAGGTAACGTCAGATTACAAATTAGCTCCATTTCTACTATATGAAGATTTATGTCTGTGTTATTTTAATTTCAGATACATATAAAACGACTTGTTTTTGTGTAATAAAACAAGAATAGATTCATCTGCATTTTGCGGTAGATTTGTAGTTGTATTAAGTCTGCATTCAGGATTCCAGTTAGGAATACGATAAAACAATCTCGTGATGCTCACAGATGCATTATATTTTAACATTCGTGGTGCTTTGATTACGCTTCGGTTTGTTATGTTACTGAAAGTGAGCAAAAGCAGATATGACACGTGAGATTCATCGAACGAAATGACAGTATAGAAAGCATGTGTTCTCAGCGTAAGTTAAAATGTACTCACATTTAGGTGATGGGAGAAAATTGTAAACCTCTGCCATTTCGAATTTGGCTTACTCATATCTTTTTCGTTTTCACTATTTTCATTATCCATGTAAGTCATTATGAGTATCAGTGATTTGTGTGAATTCCTATACTTAGATTAGCAAACTTGAGTCTTCATTCATTGATGAATCATCTGTTCCCACCACAATGTCTACCGTCCCCTCAGCGGTTGGTTCGGCTGTGATCTTGAGTCCAACACTATTATCAACTGGCCCCAGTGGTTTAACCAACATACCTTCACGATCCCTGGCTGGCAGACAGTATGCTGTAGTTAACGGCTCAAATGATATACAAAACAATAATGTTCATTCCGTATCGACTCCAGATATCAAAGTAGCAAATGCAGGAATGACTACCCTAGGTACCCCTGTGTCTTCTTCTTTAGGGACTACAATTATTTTGCCAATATCAACTCCTGTAAGTCTGAGCATGGATTTAAAGTGCTTCCATACCTCGAATGTCTTTTACTGTTGAGTGATTTATTTTTTTTAAATAATTGATATTAGTTACACAGTACTTTTTCATAACTGTTTATCCGTAATAATTTGTTCATTTGTTTATCATTATTAACTTATTTGCCAGGTACAGGATTATGCACTCTGCTTTGAGTTATACTAAGTTTCATGGTTAATGATATTTTCCAGTCTCTCATGCCGAAATAGGTGGACGGATTCCTAAGCCTGCAACCTAATGACAGGAAACCGAACACCTTAAGCAATGAGCGACCATCCCACCGTGTATTTGTGTTGTACTAGTTACATGTGTATGAGATAATAGAATACCGCACTCTTTAAAACGAGATGTACATTACAAGCGATATTCTGCATTTATCAAATAGTACCTAGATGATATTTAAGTAAGTAGTTTTTTAAACTATGCAGAATAGCTTGTTCAAAGTACTTATCACCCAGTGATTCTCGTTCCTCGTATGGGTATATGTGCAGTTAAGTAGCGTAATGTTGTACATAATTATCCATCAATATGTTCAGATTAGTTATAGCAAGCTTTGGAATTAGTAAGGATAGCCGTAGAATAAGCCACGAGACTTCACTATCAAGAATCACCTCAGGAAGATGGTATTTATCACAGGACTGTGATTCTAAGTATATTTTGCATCAACGTAACCTTACGAAAACTATAGCTCTCCCTTTTCAATCCGATTTCTCAGTTATTCTTTGCCCTCAACCATTTTCTTGAAAAAATGTTACCCTTAATTAAAATCACAGTTGTTTCACGTGTTATATTCTCAATACTCAACTGGCTATCCGTAATCTTCTCTTTGTACTAATTGCTTGTTGTTTAATTAGTATTTTCGCCAGTGATCACTTCGTTGTATATGTTTATGTTCATTCAATTTCCTAGTTGGCCTTCGTTAGTGGGCCTCAAACGTCAGTCTCGCTGGCCGACCAATCGACGGATTCAGTTTCTTGATTCTATGATAAGTTCCGTTGGACGCACACTTGTAGTTTCTCAATGTACGTGTTTATCTACTTGCTTCCTCTGTTTATCTTGTCAAATATATTTATACATACGAATGCTTAATCATTTGATTATTTCCTTGTATCATGTATTCTCACTTAGAAATTGACTTTTCCAACTGATAATCGTAATGCAAACAACAGATCTTAAGTTTGTTTTCCCTGTTCATAAACTCTATTAATCTTCATTTTTCTACTTTTCAATCTAATTTTAAGGTGGAAATAAGATCAATGAATCTACATTTTCTTTTCGTATATATATAATCCTATCTAGAATTGTATTGTCTTCAAGTTCCTGTTTACTACATATATTATTATCATAGTAAAATTGTATTTTTAATTGCATCTCCAGTTATCAATTTTGTTTTATGAACTGTTAATTCTCTATCACTGCTGTGAAAAGCTTTTATGCTTCCACATTCTGTTTGTAATTCATCCTCATGTTTCATATTCCACTCATCATTACCAAGCGATCATACTATTTTTCTCTCTATCGTTTAATAATACTTTCCTAAGAATAAACCAAGTTAAGATGTTTTTCATCTATGTACTAGAATTTCATTTTTCCATTACTGTTTATTTGTAATTTATACTAAACAATGATGTTTGTATACTCGCAGATTGATTCTGCTTGATTTTACTTCATACAAAAATTAACGATTCTGTTATACCATGTATTGCGCTTTTTCTACGTTTAACCCTCATTCTAGACAGAATCATAACCTTAAGCTCCAACGCGTATGTGCTATGAAAGTTCCTCCTATAGTGGGAAAATCCAGCCTCCTTACCTTTTGAGATTTTTCGCAATTGTTTTGTTTGTAATCTCAGTCTTCTTCACAAAATGTAAACCGCTTAAATCATTCCCCTGATAATTTACATTATTGTTGGCTCAAAGCGTTTGACTCGGCCGGATGTGTAGAAAGTGGTGCATTTAATTTCACATCCTAGATAACTAAACATAATATCAATACTTCGATATCACTGTGACAATAATGCGATCTTGGTTACCTTTTGGATAACTAAGTAAAAGCGCCTTGTGAATGACCTAGATTTATCTTGATTAACGTATGAGTTTACCAGTTAAAGTACAATGAATCTAAGGTAATGTTCAGTTTAAAATAGTGTTCACTTTATATTACTTCACATCACGGACCAAAAAAATTAAGAATCGGGTTGTTGTAATCTACTTAAACCACTATAAAATATATTTATTCACAGTGCCGGATTAATGATCCAATCATATGAATAAACCGATATCGAAATCAAGACTGCCGGCCAGAAAAATAAGTTTTCCGTGTAAAAACATAACATGCTTTTGTACGAAATCTCAATCATAAAGTATATATGCTAAGATGTCTTAAACGATGGAAGGATGAAAATTTTGTGAGTAGTGAGTGCGCTATCCAATGAACTAAGGACCGACTGTTTTGTCTAATTTTCAACCATCATTCCACAACGTCACTGACACATTTAAACTTGTGCGTTTGATATGAACACCATTCACAGGGTGATGTGAATACACTTATAATTGCGTACATACAGTTATCTTCAGTGGCATTTTTTCAGGAATCATGTATCCAAGCCGTTGAATAAACATTAATGCAACCCAATCACCCACAAGGTTTTTTGCTCAACATTGAGTGAAATATTTGTGTGAGTCATTTCAGTATTGCCCGAGCAAAGTTGGATTATGTGCGAACACCGCTTATGATACAACTCGTCGACGTCACTATGCTATATCTTTAGATTATCACAAGGTGGATATTGTGGTTTATTCGATGTTTACATATCTATGGCAATGAGTCATCACTTTATATTGTCTGTCTCAGATCCTCAAATGTGTGAAGTAAACAGCATTCAACAAACTCACTAGTTGTAGAGGAAAATTTTGAAGCATATAAGATGTGTTCCGATTCGTATTCAATATTCAAAATAAACGAGCTTATTGGAGTGATTCCCTAGTAGGACTTTATGCTGTAAATAAACCAAAGTAGGATTTAGGAGAAGCTGAGTGTTGGTGAACAGTCATTTCTCTAAGTTGGATTAATATCAAATGGTGATATTTGAAATCTCATGCAGATAACACCAGTGGCCCTTGAACTCATTTCCCAGTTTCACTAGAAAGCCTTGACGTATTTCAACCACTTGGAGCTCCTTTTTACATCAAAGGAACTACTAGGCAAGTTAGCCAAATATTGTCCTTTGACTTAATAATATCATTAAGATAGAATAACAGAACCATTCAAAATTCCATATTGCGAAAATGGTTTCAGATTTAGGCTGGTTCCGGTCTTGACTTCGTCAATAAGTGACCGTAATCTCAAAGAGTATATTTAGCCAATGGCAGTTCTTTGTTATATCTGATTTGGATTTATAAAAAGGGCCAAAATTTCGATTGGTGAAACACATGCCTCGCTATCCTGGTCGGTATTTATTAGAAGCGCATTTTCAGTATAAGAAGTGGAAACAGTCTAACATCGGATAAGAGAAATGAATACGACACTAACAAATAGTATCCACCTCATACTAAATCAATGTTCAGCAATTTTTTTAGAGATAACCATATGAAAATTTGGTTTACACACTACGTGTATGAAGAAATAATGTTCTATTCAATTGTACCATATTTTTGATACATTGTTTGTGGATTTTCTATCTTCCTTATCTGGAAAGTTTGCTTGCCATCCTCACTGATCTCTTCGCTCAAATCAAATTCATCATTGTCATAACACTGTTGCTCCTTCGATTCTTTAACGAGCATGAAACCTCGACCACCTAATTTAGCGCTTATATTCACTCGTATGAAATAGATTATATAAAGTGTGGCCTATTAAATAAAAAAGAAAAAATCACAATTAAATGAATTCATCTCTAACAACGTCATACAAGAAATCTACCGTACATAATACTAACTTCAAACTGATACACTTCGATAATGAAACTAAAATACATAACCAAGCCTAAATCATCTAAATATAACACTTAGAACATTTCGAAAGACCTTGAGAGGGACTTATATAGCTCCTATTTTTTTGCAACTCCTTAATATTAACGTTTTTGTAACACCTTGATAAATCAAAATCGAAGTTAATTATCATGCTAATCTTCCACTTCCGTTCATAATAACACAGCTAAATATTTTCGGTATTGATCAGGCGGTTATGATAATTAAAAGTATTTGAACTGATCTACTAACTAAAAATTTCCGAAATAGTGCAATTTAAGGCAGGTAGAACTAGATGGGCACAAATGGACGTATTACATTTGGTATTCGTCGTAAGCGCACAACCATGTATGAAGGAGTCAAATACCACAGTGGTGTAGAAGTCCTTTATGGTCTACACTAAACAAGACCCTCGAAAATCCTTATCAGACATAATCCAAAATTTCATAGCCATTTCAAAAACATAAGTCGCGTAACACTTTTGACCTAATTTCAGAAGAACATTTATTTGTTTAAACAGCACCTTATTATACAACACCTAATATCAGAAAGTGAAAATTTCATCAAGAAATAATGAGAATTATTTTGACAGTATCCACATTCAAATTTATACCTCAGAATAAAACTGAAAAGTTACATTATTATTAGTTTGAGTGATTTGTCTTCAAGGTTTGGTCGACTGATCAGCACTGTTGTGATATTGAAGTTGCACAAACGTTTGCGTAATATTTTCGTAAACACAAGTGGATGATTTTATTTACACTATATACAGGTAGTGAACAAACCAAGTAGTCATTCTGTTTTTATGATAGGGCTAACAAGAAAAGTTGATTAGTTTAAGCAATTTACAACTATTTATTCTAGTAAGTACTACACAAATTTCTGATATTCATGCATAACCCCATTGACAAACAAAATTATATCATGTCAATAAAATTCTACTTCCAGTGTGATATAATAGCATTTATTGTCAAAATGTGACAATAAGTTATCATAGTCAACAAAAATAATCGAACACGTTTGACTTCCTCATAAAGTCTCTGAGAGCAAATTCGTCAAGCCTATTAAAGAAACGAATCACTTAAATAACTAAGAATAGTAAACATTACTGATTGTTATGATCTCTAAGCTAGATCGACTGATCATAAAGCCAATATTATCCATCAAATTGAACACGTTTTCAGATCTAACATTATTATAAAAATCAAACTCACATGACATAAAATAACAGACATCAGAGCACTAAAGCAGGCTAGTATTGTTGATTGTGGTTTACTCCAGTCAATGGAAGGATAAATTTGTCCTTTATTATAAGGACCTGTACCACCGAGTAACCAAAACAAATATGTGAATAAACTATATATCACACCGAGTAGGCAAGGATAAATGACATGTATCATTCGCATCGGAATAGCACAAAGGCATGTGTCAATTACGACCAAGACTGAAGTCAATGAATGTTTAACTCGACTCTGCCAACTTGCAAATACATCTGTAAATCAAATATACAAAGTCAAAATGAAAATTCACCGTCAACCAGACTTATGTATGTTAGTGAAAATTTAGTTATTTCCCTGACCCAAAGAGACATTAAGTTGCAAATTGACGAAATTACAGACAGCAAAGGAATCGGTTAATTTTATACTCGAATGATGTTATTAATTGTATCAGTTAAATTTCTGATGATTTCTATACAGGCTGACTTTCGCTCATATTGCAGGCAATCGAATAATAGAAATTATTGAGGATACTTGATCTAGGTTTACTTTAAACACACTGTCAGACTATCATGTCTACAGAACTCCAGTTAGCCTTCTGTTATAATCCGACGAGAGTTACGAACGGTAACTCTTGAGAACAATTGATGGACGAATACGATACACATATATTTACTGTATAAATGCTTTATTTCGACCCATAGACTATTATTATAGGATTAACTGTTCTTGAGTTATGCCCGATCTATTAATTACAGTCTCCTACATTCACGACCACTTTGGGCTAGATCTTGTATGAATGTTGTTTTCTATTTTATGGTACGCTGTTATCTGTTTGGTTTGTATATAAACCCAGTATGTTTGAAATACATGATTCATATCGCGCAGGCTGAGATTTGTGTTCTTGACTTAACAGGCAGAGCTAGGCAGGAAGAAGGACCGATAAAGACTCTAGACGGTTTTATGTGTCATTGGTTCGGTCGATAATTCTCTGTTCTCTAATTGGCCGTATCATTACACTATATATTAATAGAACACAATGCCACGAGCTATAACACCTTGTTTCAAATTAGGCAGTTTTATAATGTCACACACGAATTTGTGGGTTCTCATCTTTTTCACTTACCTGTTTCACACCTTTCTGTATCTAAGAATATCTGAAAACATCCGCAACTATGGGTTGTACAAATCCTTATCAGTATGATTATGTGTCAACTCAACAATAACAGAACTAAGTCATTCAAACTTATTATTAACCCTAATTATTGCGTTCCTATGAGGCGACGGTTATCAAGAGACCAGAAATGAATCTATGGCTTGATGAACAACCAGTTGTTAGTCTACAGACATTTCGATATCATTTCGTCTTCTTGATGATACAATAGCACAACGTCACGCCTCCCTATGCCCTATGATCTGACTACTTAAAATTCTTATAAGATTCCCATTCTTCCCATCATTTGAGATTTTGTAATTCTGTTACTTTCTTAACAATGCATACATAACACGTAGTCACAGTTCCGTAACTTCAAAGGATTCTTGTCTCTACCTTCTGTCCAACCATCTTGTTTTCTGGAATGTTCATCTAACAAATCTACATAAAATAACCGTGGAATTATATTTTAACAAATAAGGTCATTTCGAATAGAAGTGAGTAAATTAAAGCCCAGTGACGTTTATCATAAAACGGAATATCATTAGTCATGAATCAGTTTATCATGCTCATTTTCAAGTTCAAATCAATGTCCTCATTTACTTCCCTCGTTGTGACCTGTCCGGATATTGAAGCAAAGCAATCCTGAAGCAATGTATCAGATTTAGTGGGAGAGAAATTCAATTCAGTGATTGCTTTATGATTACATAAGGCCATCATAGACTATCCGTTTTTTTAGCGTCTTCACCAAGCAAAATATAACATTAGCCAGTACTCAGTGAACAAAAATTAGATAAAATAAATTAATAAAGCATGCTAAATAGGTTGGAGAAAGTGGATGAAACATTGAAGGTCACGTCATTTATCTCACAAAATTATCTAAAATACTTGGTTTTCCTGTTAACATATTGATAATGACCCTTCAAGTTCGAGAATTATCAGGAATATAAAAGTATTTGCGGTTGATAACAGTGAGGTTCATGATGATACGTACGTTATGAATGCTATAGAAGACAAAATTTCAGGTGAGTTTTACAAATCTAGAGAACCTTCATCCGAATAGTCACTTAACTTCACTTAATTTATTAAACTGATGAAGACAGTCGTTATTCTATACAAACTAAGGGATTTATATAAACAATTCCTAAAATTTGTGCGGTATTACAATACGTATATGTTTTAGCAAATTTCTATAAATATCAAAATCAGTAGATTTTGAACCAGGAAGAATATTTAGTATCCCCGACATAAAAAGATAGAAAATTACACCTATTTGAATTTTCAGTCAGCCAAATAATAGGTTCTGAGACCTGTGATTATGTTATTTATTTAACCTATTACTACAGTTTTGTTTTCACCCTTAGTGTTTAATAGATGTACTTTTTTCATGATATTTAAACTCGGATCATAGTGAAATAAACTTTCAATTAAGTTAACCGTCAGTTTTAATCAGTATATCACTACAGTCCCCTCGTTATTTAGAAAGTTGCAATTCTCCAAGTAACATTCAGTTTTTACAAATATTCATACACATAGAAGAAAGATTTAATATTGTTTTCATTGAAGAGTAACTAACTAAAAAGCCATTCAAAAATACAAGGTACAAACGGTTTCGACGTTCTAATTCCACATCATTCGTTAGTGTTCAGTCACCCAAAAGTTGTTAAAGAAAAACTGATCCTCAACACTTGTTTAGTTAATGTCAGTTCTTTATCGGAACTAAATTCATCTTTTACAAGGTCTGGACTAGATAAGTTTAATAAAAAAGTATTAATAAATAAATAGACTCGTTGAAACGTAGAATAATTATTATTTAGCTTACTCAATGGAATGGTCGACAATGAAAACCAAAATATGATAGAAACCACAAGTATACATGTTGATGATAAATTATACAGAAACCATATCGGTTGATAATATCTTGGCTCATTGTTAGAATCTATGTGTAACAGTAAATCAGTGGAAATTAGTGAAAATTCAGTTTGTAGAATACATTAATCTTATAGTGTTTTACTCAAAAATACACCGATAACTAGAGTTGAGGTTAATGAAATATATTGTAATTAAGAAATACCACGATTTTCACTTTATTCTTCCTGGTCGATATTCACATATACCTATCGTATGTAAACTGTATTGACTGTATGCTTCACGAGAAAAGTGTTCTACCTAAAATCAACGTTCAAGGTTCATGTCATTGAGTGGTTGATTAAGAGGTAAATAATCCGCAGAAACTGTTCACCTTGACTCCAGTTTTCATCATGAACTAACATCTCAGAAGAACCATTAAAAACCGGAGAGTATTGAATAATTGTTGCATCTTAACATGAGATACATAGAAGGTATGCACCCACTACCATACCACGGTGTCGCACTGGTAGCTTCAGTCCTCACTGGAAGTTCAATTTCCCAAGACCAGTAAGTCAGAATTCAATGATTCTCTAATATCGCAATTTTACTGAAGTTAGACATTTGAGGCATGAGTAGTCCGAAAAAGTTGTGTCTTCCAGAAAATCTTGAATTCGATTCTGTGAGTGATTCACGGAGTACAAATTGTTGAGTTGTCTCAAATAATGACATATTGGATACACAAAAATCCATTGGTTTTACTTATCCTTCGGCTAACTTCTGCTTTTAGCACAGACGTTTGTGAAGATTATTCAACATTCTTGATATCCCAAACAGACGCAAGTTAGAAATCTACTGAAAACCAAGAGCGATTGGACAGCTGATTAGTACAAGTTTCTGGACGTTCAATAATTCTCCTCCTCAAAATCGCCACGCGGAATCGAATCCATGGCCTTTGGTCAGGAGTTCGATGGCTTAATCTCTAGATCATTGAGGTGACGTCCAATGCTTTGATTGTCTAACGTTATCGAGCGACCGTCATCAATTGTATTCGGCGGTTGATGATTTCTGTTTGTTACAAAAACTTACCTAGGGCTCAATACTGTGTTTTTCACTGAGCAGATTATAACGGTCAATGTTCTCATTTACAGGTTATCTCTTACATATTCAAAACGATGACAGTTCAAAAACAACCGATAATTTTTGCGTACACGTTGTCTGGACAACTGATGTAGTTGATACGATTAATTTAATTTGTACAAATGTCGAAGATGAGGTGAAGCTATTAAACAAACATTCATAGAAAATCGTTATTTTCTAAAACTCATGCATTGAAATGAAGATTACAGTATGATAAGACCAACTACACTTATGACACTCAAAACACTGTCATTCAGATGTCAGTGAAATGACCTTGTACTGAAACAAAGATCTCAGTCATTTCCAAGTAAAACGCATTATACAACGAAAGTGATTATTGCAGAAATAAATTGCATACTTCCCCAAAAGTCAAAACCTTGTGTAACATTTCATTGAGTTTATTAATTTACATGTGTATGGGTACATTGATTTGTAGAAATAACAGTGACTTGCATGTGACATTGCCTGAAGATGTTGAAACAAACAAAATAAAATAGTCTGGCAAGAAAAGATGGCAATCGACTACTTATTTCAAATTCAGTGACTTGTTTAACACTGTGAGTTAATAATATTGATCCATGTTCCCAATATAAAGGTTATTTATGACTATTATGTTCAAATTAGTGAAATGAATATAAATGTCATTTGAAAATCGAATAAAGCTTTTACTTCCCTTACACAAAATGAGGATATTTTATCTTGATATCCGATAACGATATTGATCTACTGGTAGTTATTAATATTTAAGTACTTTCGCTACCTTAAACCAGTTTCATTATCAATTCATGAAAATGTTTTTCAACTTTGATGATAGAAAAAGCTCACTAAACACTAATTACATAAACTTTTTTTAATTCACAACGTCTCCAAGCCTTATAAGATATTTTCTCTTAGAAATCTGTTTGTTCTCTGTTTTTGTTTTTTTGTTTGGAACTATTTGATTTAAGTTGCTATAACTTACATTGCTGATGGATGGAAGGTAGTTAAATTGCAACATTCATAAAAGTTGACTTTTATAAATATATGATTTAAATGTAATCTAATTATATAAATAAAAGTACTTACATTTTACGTTGTAAATCAAGCAGTAGATAGCTAGTGATATATGAAATATGGTAAGTATCAGAAATGCCCAATTTGTACCATATGTGATCCAACTATATTCAGAATGATCGAAATGTTTGATTGTTTCTATAACAATATCGTATATAATCCATACCAACAAAAGAATTGCCAGAGATACACGATATGTTGTGAAATATTTCGGTGTGAAACACATCCACTGGAAAAATTTTATGTAAATAAATGTGGATATTATCAACTGACTAGATGAGTTAGTAAAAAATTAAAAATTCTCTGGTAAATTTGCTTGTGAATTTTGAAATGTTCGTTTATTTACTGTTACTTTATTGATATTTCATGTAATGCTCAATATAAACAGCATTTCAAATCAATTATATTTTCCACCTTTTAAATCACGAACAATCTTAGCTAGACCACCGTTAAAGACCTGGAAGAACTAGATGGCTATTTCGTGCTACTACTCAGCAATTTGTTTCCATGATTCTTCATACAGGGATCAAACCCAGAACCTTCGGTTTAGCGTTCGAACGTCAAAAACTCTATACGACTAAGTTGGCATCCAACACTGCTAATGTTTAACTTTTCACTGTATAAAAAGTAGTCGCTCACTTACTTATACATAGAAAATCGTTATTTTCTAAAACTCATGCATTGAAATGAAGATTACAGTATGATAAGACCAACTACACTTATGACACTCAAAACACTGTCATTCAGATGTCAGTGAAATGACCTTGTACTGAAACAAAGATCTCAGTCATTTCCAAGTAAAACGCATTATACAACGAAAGTGATTATTGCAGAAATAAATTGCATACTTCCCCAAAAGTCAAAACCTTGTGTAACATTTCATTGAGTTTATTAATTTACATGTGTATGGGTACATTGATTTGTAGAAATAACAGTGACTTGCATGTGACATTGCCTGAAGATGTTGAAACAAACAAAATAAAATAGTCTGGCAAGAAAAGATAGTAATCATCTATCTTACTCTACTGCCAAACACGTAACTGAAATAGTTCATAAGACTGATATAAATAGCCTTCTTGGTTTTTGAAAAACACTGTGTGGATACATACATTAGGTTATCTAAATATGGACTAAAAGGGATGTAGAAGTAAACAAAATCAAATATCCTAACACACACAATGAAAGGAGTGAATAAACTTAACCTCGTTGTCAACATTATGGCTGAAATTTAATCAGCCTTACTGTTTACACGAACAAGTAACGATCCGGATTCAGTAACTAAGTGGATAATGCGATAGCATGTGAAGTGAAAGTTACTGGGTTCGTCAACCCAGATGCTGGTAAATCGATCCAGAAAGTCCTAAACGGTACAAAATAGGTACCTCGAATTCCACCACTGGACAAAGTTCGTTTATTCTGCATAATTTCGTAAGATTGATGTGAACACACTCTTCGTTGTAATCAATAAATCTTGTTTACGGAAACTAGTTATACTCGTTGAAACCTTAGCTCTACGGATGTTCAAATCTCCTTCTCGTATTCAAAAACTATGTGTCCTTACACTAAATCTACATTGGTAATATAGATTTATTATCCAGAATGACTTCATTTACACTGTTATTATCAGTATCTTTCTTTTTCTCTTATCTTATTAATGTTTTTCTATGTAAAGATGTTATTAATTTGTTCGAAACACACGCCGCTCATATATTATATGGTTTTATTCATCTTTGTCCTCTAATAGCATTATATAATTTCTAATTAATTTTTCCCACAGTGGTTGCATTACTAATGTTAGTTTTATATAAAAGTATTCAGTCAACTAAATAATATTTGCTCAAATAAAATTATGATTTTAGATGAAATTACTTTCTTTACCACACTGGCACTTCATTAAACTCAGTTAAGAAAAACAGACTAACCAATATATCTTATAGCTAACAACCACAACAGGAGAATCATTCGAATATATCAGGAAACCAGATTTAAAACAGCATCATTTTGCGTACACATGTTCACTTACTCTTTAGTAGACAAGTAAGTATTTCACTCATAAAGTAACATTCTCTATCATTAAGAAGTAATAAATCAACCTTGTAATATCATGGTCTCAACTACAATCACGCAGTCACTGTACATCGTTCCGTATTGTCTATGTAACAAATATGACAGAAAGACGTATTCGAAATAGTAAGGTATCGCTTGATTAGCAAAAAGAAGCACAGCAGCTTTCAAACCTGTCCGTATCTAAAATCATACATTCACACAGTACACTCTCACTACATATAAGTGAGTAGCAATCTTATGCACCGAATTCGCGCTATCATAGATGTATTTTACGCATTATTGTTAATTACATTAAATGCGTTTCATTCATTTTAAACCAGAACAGTTAAAAATGTTGGCAATTTGTTAAGTTTAAAAATGGATTTCAGGTAGAATTATCATATGTAGTTAGTGATATGAGTCCTTGTGACGTTCCTTTAGTCTAAGTGCGATTCAGTGATATACTATTCATTACCATATGTCATGGTAGTGCATTTAGTACGAATATACATGTTTGAAAACGGAGTAGTTTCAATCGTCAACAACAGGAGGCTGAGAGACCTGTGTTAATCTTGACAACAGAAGCAGATCTACTGATTCAAACGTCCTTACGGTTTCCCCAATTGCAATTCACAATGCGAAACAACATACAATGATTTACATGTGTACAACAGAACTAGTCTTTTGAAAATCACTTCTGAAGTGTCTTATTTGACAGTATGGCTACTTATTCTTGAATTTATCTCTCCCTTCTACCACTGCACATGTCAACTATTTTTCAAGAATTGTTCAGCAATATTTTCATATTCATCAATCTTCCTTCACTGAAAATTTATAATTTGACTCTATTCAGTATTCATCATACGGTTGTTATTCTGTTATTGTATGAGACTGCAATGTTGTCAATGGGTTGTGCATTAACGAACTCAAGATTGTAGAGTGGTGCAATCATTGGCTACTACTCTTTGTTACGTTGCACAACCCTGTTGTACAACTCGATTCTAATCGACAGAGGTGGGTAGTATTGTTGTTGATTCTTAGTTATTTGACATTTGTAGTTAGTAACTATGATTCACTGAATGGTACGACATTGTATGACAGCATCTTTTGACTGTATGGTGACCGAGAGTCATGGAAATGATTTAGAAATCTGAAGAACAACCTGAAATCACAGTCACTAAATTTTCACATCGACAATAGATCGATCTGTTCACTTCAATTAGAGCGTCTATCTTCTGACCTGGAACAAATGGATTGTAGGATTTTTCAACAATCAGTTTGTACTTGTTGATGTGTGAGCATGTAAACAAACAGATCTGATTATGTTCAACTCAATAATTGTTTAAGTAATCTATATGTGATATTTTGAACAATCATATTGTACATGATTTTGTTTTTACTATAATATTTGGATAATGAATTGTTGCTTTAAACACAGGAAGATTGTATTAGAGATTAATGAGATGTGAAGAAACCCAAACAACAAAACTGAATAGTTTAAATATACTGATTAGTTCATTTGTTATGTTCTTTGTTTGATGAATGCAGAATAAAAATAATAAATATCATTCATTAACTCGAAATAATCACCTAAATTTTATGTCAGCAATATTGTTAGTCGTAAAGCCTATTTGTCAGTTCAAACTCATGATTACAAGTAAACTAATGAAAATTATTAATACAGATATCATGAGTGCTGTTAAAGGCATCAGGGCACTTATAATTTCACAGACGCCCACACCGTTGAAGAGTTCTTCTAGAGGTACCTGGAAAGAAAATTGGTCTAGGGGTGGTCTTAGTAACCATAGAGTGTGACTGCAGTTTCCAAGGTAAAACTGCTTGAGGTCGGTCACATACGACCTTTTTGTGAGTTATTTTCGTGTTAGCTCCGTACTTGTTGAGACCTTACCGCCGGATACGGATATCCGTGGGATAAGGCGAGGTGTGTATTTTTAGGGTCGACTATTTCTAACCCCACCCATCCTTGTGGGAAGACAGCATCGCTGTTATACTGGTTGTCTGAAGGAAAAATCTTACTGTCGCTATACTTCTGTACAGTCAGCAGTACGACTTCACCCTCGAACCTTGGGTTTGTTGCTTTTAGTCTTACTGCTCTTCAACTGACCTGTCTGTCATGGTAAAACCTTGAGGAACGATTGTTCCAGCCAGTATAGCTCGATTGGTCCATTACGATAGGCAAGCTCGACCACCACGTCAAGGTAGCAGCAACGGTTGGGACTAAACTGATGGAAAGCGTTTCAAAGTGTGTTAATCAAAAGTCACCAAATGAGAAGGCTACGATATGTCTATCAAAATCTTAATGATAAGTCCATATTATTGACCAAGCATTGGTTTCATTTTCTAGGAAGTATACATGTATAAAAATAAATGAGTGCATATGGATTTTATTCATTTTAGGCCGACAAACTTCTTCCTTCACCCTTAGTCTTCTTACCTAGTAGCCCGTCAATGGTTTGCATATAAGAATCTTTGTGTATCACTATCGGTTTCGACACTGCACATCATAACACTAAACATCTATGAAATATCTAAACTAATAATACACCAGTCGTCACACAAACATCTTTCAGCTTCGTACAAAATACTTTATTACTAAAACAAATTATATAACATATTGAAATACTGTACGTACTTGAGATTTTACAAAATCTTGAGGTCTTGCATGATGAAATAATAATCCAGTACATGATAATTCCACAGTTCTAAATTGTCGTAATTCTGGAAAGTGTGAGGAATTCCATATGGTATATTTATTCTTTAAATATTGCATTTAAATTAGATTTTTTATTAAATAACAAAATATTTAATTATATCTCATATATGATTTTGAGTATCAAGACAAATATAGGGCATCATGCATATACAACAAAATGATTGAACTAAATGTGGGTTACCCTCTACCGAAAATTAAACAATGATTCATAAATACATGTTTACTCAATAGAAATTTACGAACAGAAATATTCCTGCTGAGAACAATATAGCTTCCGTTTTACCTCTATACACGATTCATTGTATAGAAATCAACTTAAACGTTTAGAAATTTGGGATTGTAGCCAATGTATAATGATTGTTTAAAGTAAAGGAAAATGATTGGTGCATTTTACATGTTTGAGGCGAACACATAAATTCGTTTTATAACTAATCAATCAAGGAAACTTGAAAAACAAATTTACATACAGACTTTAGTGTCTGTCTATTTCTCATCTTTGCAGTCTTAGAGATTTTACTCAAAATATGTTAATAGTAAGGAAAGAAAATGATACTGATAACTGTTTTTGAAACAGCAGTTTTCATTTCATTTTCTCCACGTCTGTCCTTCGTTTAGATAGGGGTACGAGGAATATGAATCTTTGGACAATTTTAGAGTTGGAGTATTCCGCATTCCGTCACATTTACTCCTTCCATTATATTGTACACCTTTTTTAAAAAACCACTGATAATCAAATTAAACTATGTAGATTTATACACTGACATACAAACCGATCATCAAAGTCATTTGACAATATACGGTCAACACGGTAAAACTCATCAAATCAGCTATCATTCTTGAAAATTGTGAGTGATATCTGCTCGACTTAAATAAACTGAACATATGTATTGTAACCGTTTCAATCAATTGAAACAAGTTTATTTCAAAAATCCAATTAGAATATAACATTTTGACACTTGATGTCTTCTAGAAGATTGGTGCCCAGTTCATGTCAAACACGTCGTTTAAATATTTATGAACATTCTTAGGAAGTATAGCATTCTGTTCTAAATATTTCTTTTGTCACTTTCAGAGAGAGGATTCATGATAATCTTAGAGCTGCATTATTAACCTAGAGGATTTGAAATGCGATAAATATGCATAGATGAATTAATGATTTTTCAGTCTAAGAAAATTTTCTGTGTATAATATTTTCCCCAGATGATGCATACCACATAATTCGTTTTCCTACCTTTCTACAACCAACGTAATCTAATTAGAAACCAGTCGTCTTTCTGATACATCCATGTATCGTCACCACTAACAGTACATGAATCTTAGAAATAACATTTATCCACGAGTTATATATCGATTTTCTTAAATAATCAACTCCCATTGTATATCATTAATAATAATTAATACTTTAAGTGAACAAAATAATCTTAAAATTCACTTCAATTTAGAATTTACTTTGTTGATAACCACCAGTATTTTAATCGAAATCTTTTGATTTAAAACGTCCATATTGAAGATAACAACACTATTCGACATGCTTCTTAAAGCTTATTTTACTTCTAATAAATTAACCAACTGGTTTGATAAGCAATGACGGATAATGGCTAGCAGTGGAATCCAGGACGCGCGTTTCGTCCTATTTGAGACGCGTCATATGGACGTACCTGCACCTCAGAGTTGATGTTCACTCTGAGACTCGAACCCAGTACCATTCACTTCAAACGCCATCGTGTTATCCCTTCAGCTACTGAGTCCTGATAGCCACTTGCTTGTGCAATTGGGTGAATTTAAATTCACTTGGTACTGTTTGGCTTGTATCTTCCCATTGAGGTTTAAGACTGCAATTGAACTGATTTGATTCCTAACGAAAATACTCATGAAGTGACTAAATATTTTAAAAAGGAATCTGACTGCTAGTTATTATTTTCGTTTAATAAAGTGATTAGGTTATTTGATTACAGTAATATAATCTCAATAATATATATTAGATTACATAATGAAAATTACCTCTCAAAAAAGAAATCATACCTGTATATTGTACCATTTTGATAATCCAAAATTCACTAAGTTACTATTTTCATTTGATGCATTGAACCTCTGTTACTATTGTCAAATTAATAATACTAGTGAAAACTAACTTGAAGTAATTAACTAGCCTTGACTAACTTACATTTATAAACATAAAACATCAATACAATAAAAACATGTATTAACTTAAAACGTAAAGGCATACAATCGGGCGTACGATTGCTTTAAACCAATTAAAGTTAATATAATCACATGTGTTTCATCAAAAGAAAGGTTATTCACAGACAAATTTCAACGTTTTATAATAAAGACAAAATCAAGTACAATATGATTGTTCAAAATATCACATATAGATTACTTAAACAATTATTGAGTTGAACATAATCAGATCTGTTTGTTTACATGCTCACACATCAACAAGTACAAACTGATTGTTGAAAAATCCTACAATCCATTTGTTCCAGGTCAGAAGATAGACGCTCTAATTGAAGTGAACAGATCGATCTATTGTCGATGTGAAAATTTAGTGACTGTGATTTCAGGTTGTTCTTCAGATTTCTAAATCATTTCCATGACTCTCGGTCACCATACAGTCAAAAGATGCTGTCATACAATGTCGTACCATTCAGTGAATCATAGTTACTAACTACAAATGTCAAATAACTAAGAATCAACAACAATACTACCCACCTCTGTCGATTAGAATCGAGTTGTACAACAGGGTTGTGCAACGTAACAAAGAGTAGTAGCCAATGATTGCACCACTCTACAATCTTGAGTTCGTTAATGCACAACCCATTGACAACATTGCAGTCTCATACAATAACAGAATAACAACCGTATGATGAATACTGAATAGAGTCAAATTATAAATTTTCAGTGAAGGAAGATTGATGAATATGAAAATATTGCTGAACAATTCTTGAAAAATAGTTGACATGTGCAGTGGTAGAAGGGAGAGATAAATTCAAGGATAAGTAGCCATACTGTCAAATAAGACACTTCAGAAGTGATTTTCAAAAGACTAGTTCTGTTGTACACATGTAAATCATTGTATGTTGTTTCGCATTGTGAATTGCAATTGGGGAAACCGTAAGGACGTTTGAATCAGTAGATCTGCTTCTGTTGTCAAGATTAACACAGGTCTCTCAGCCTCCTGTTGTTGACGATTGAAACTACTCCGTTTTCAAACATGTATATTCGTACTAAATGCACTACCATGACATATGGTAATGAATACTGTATCAGTACAACGCATTTTGACTAAAGGAATGTTACACATAATATAACACTACTAGAGGTACAATTTTGCGTTCAACAAGTTTAAAACTGATTGCAATCGAATATAAATATTTAAATGTCATCATGATATTGACCAACTGTTCAGTTATTCGCTAGAGCATAATTGCAAGTAATTATTAATATACTCTGGTGTCAGCATGTAAAAATTGAACCTGAAAAATCCGACAACTCATTTCTGTCAGGTCATGCGAGAGAAGTGTTGCTATAAAATGTAACACCGAGTTAGGCATATATTAATTTGAACTTCAAGTTTTTTAGACTGATAATTTAATTATTTATGCAACCCGACGCAGACAGTTTGAAATTAGAATAAATAATATTCACCTTCCATTAACGTTCACTAATTTTCACGAGATATTGCGTGTATGCGTTGATACATTCAGTAAAGTATCATTACTACACTTTTATGGGGATAATTTTATGGGAAGTTCGTTCTTATTAAGAAGTTGTTTTTAATACATCATACTAGTATATATAGTCACATTGAACTTCGGTCTCCTGTTCTATTTTTGAATGGACAAGTCTTTTCTACACTCAGAGTATCTTAAATTGGTGTATTCTTCATCGCCTCATGAGCTAAACCAAAATCAAATCTATACACATATGGAGGTCACTAAGGTAGCTCAATGGTGCTCTAAATGATAGTTGGAACTTTGCACTTCAAAATGTGGATAGATTTGCTTTGATAATTATTTATTCAACTTAGATTTCATCACAAATAGTAAGGTTCAATCTAAATTTCATACATTTGTGAACTTTGGACTAAGATATTTCCACAATTTGTCCTTCTCATGAAAGGTTTCCAAACAGAGATTTGTCTCAATAAATTATCATTTGTTTATTTTGTAATCTCTATAACAATGATTCATGTACTTTACTGTACAAAGGATGTATCCGACTACCCAGAGAATACTTCAGTTTTATCCTTAGTAGTACTCTCATCAAAGATAAATCAAGGTTGGAATCTCTTCAGAGACACCTCAAACTACTGATCCGGATGCTACAAGTTCGAATTCAAATCTTAAAAGAAGCAGGAACTTGGATTAAATTCCATCTTCTTCTTCAAAATAATTTGTAAACTATATTTTACATACAACGATCCAATTAAATATGAAGTAACAACTAGTTGTAGTATCCATCACTTGTCATTAGCAAAGCGATCTCATTCTAGCTTTATCCCATACGAATTAATATACCTATACATTTTCGAGTGTGTAGTGATTTGCCTTAATCTGTCCACGAAATAAAATCACTTTAATTATTTGTTTGTCACTTCCCCTCTAATACTACCTTAAACGTGCCTACACGTCTAAATATGTCTCATCAACTAGCTAAATTATGGCAACGTTAAATGATTAATCATTGTTATTATTGGGGGTACTCAAGAAAGATTTCCCCATCCAGATATATTACAGTTACACCTTCCCTAATACATTTAACTACTTCAAATAACTTCTATCCCGAACAGAAGATTATAAAGCAATTTTACACTTAGATAACGCCAAACCTGTCACAGTAATTTTTGTCGCTTTTGTTCTGTGCTCTGCCTGATCATTTTTTCTAGTTGTAAAAAACTACAAGTAGTCGATAATGGCCCTGGAATTCACCTTGGACACATTTTTCATACATCAATAGGATGTTTTAGTCCCCTTACAAAGAATTATTGTTCCCAGAATGATGCATAACACTGTTGTAATCCACATGACAAATGTGGGCACTAAACAAGTTCACACTATATCATTTAAAACTATCCGAAATTATTTATCTGTCCTTTACATTTATGGTATTCTGAAATATTCAGATTAATATGGCAACTAGGTTTTTTCATAGATGTCCAGTTTAAGTTATGTAGAATACTATGACCACGACTGAAATTCATAATAATTTACACAGAAATCATTATTAAATATAAACATTACAGGATTACTGTCTGTTTCAACCTGATCAGCATGCATTCGATAATTATTTTCAGAATATATTATATTTATTTATTCACATCATTTCCAACTCAAACTTTGCAATAAAACCTAGAAAGATGACAGTAAGTACAGTGATTCAACCAAGTTATTACAGACAATATTCACACTTTGTTGTATAGGATCTTTCTGTAGACACATAATGAACAGATGTTACAGATGAAAACAAAAGAAAGAGTTGTGATATCTTAATGGATCATTAAATTTTTATGTGATTATTCATCTACTCACTCGATTCGTCTCATATAAATAGTAGGTTCACTATCCAACAAGAACGTCATACAGTTTTATTTCTTCTGGTGTCAATTTGACAGGAATCTCAACCTTTTGTGTACTACATAGCTTTAGTGTTAGAGCTAAACGAGTAAACAATTGGTGTTCAAAGTATTGTCAAAAAAGTTTACAAAGTGTGATACCTTTATTTCGAATATTCTTGAGCACCATTGAGCTCTTGATAATCTTTAGGATATGTAGGTTATATTTAACTTGGTTATATTAGAATTAGTTACAATTAGTCGTCTTTCACGCGCTATCTGATAGAAAGTGATAGAATCTTTTAGTCGTTATGCATTGAGACGCAAAATTTATCTTTCAGATGTGGCGATCATATGGTGATTTTACTGGAAATTAGTCCTACTACATGATTAATAATTCATAAATACTCATTGATCATGATAATAATCCCTAGGTTGTTCATGATTTTTGACTGAAATTTACCGCTAACAGTACTCAAGATCACTGAAAGTTACCGTAACCTTTAAATCTCAAACATTAATGTGTTTATTATTATTATTATTATATCTTTGACAATACTATCGATAAATACATCACATCCACCATCTTCTCGCGGAACGGTGAATAACCCACTGATTTCTTAAATCTTTGATAATAAGTAGGTATCAGTGTCAAGGTTTGACTTGATAGTTTCAAATGAATTGAGCATTGGGTAGAAAGTTAATAATCAATATATCTTTTGTTATATCCCAATGAGTAGAAAATCGTATTTCTGGTGGTTTGTGAGGTAATGTAAGCCACTTATGCAGAGTAAATAAATAACCGAATTAAATGAATATGAATTTAAACAGTACAAGGAAATATAACAACATAATACAAGACAAGTGGTCACATGTACTTTTTCATTTCCATTCATGACATGCATATTACTACTAGTCAAATATAAGATAATGGCGTGCAATAATTTAGTAGAGTCATTGAATATTCAACAAAGTAAATCCATGAAAAGAAGACTGATTGACATATTTATTGTTTGTTGATTGTTTTTGAATCAGTGGGAAATGAAAGAAGACCGAAACTACTGACCCGAAAGAACAGGAAAACAAAAGTAAATTAATTATCGTTTGAATATTCACAAGCAAATTTACTAGAGAATTTTTATTCGTTTACTGACTCATCTAGTCACTTGATAATATCAACATTTATTTTCATAAAATTTTTCCAGTGGATGTGTTTCACACCGAAATATTTCACAACATATCGTGTATCTCTGGCAATTCTTTTGTTGGTATGAATTATAAATGATGCTGCCAGGGCAACGATAATAAGTTTTAATTACTCTAAATATGGGTGGATCACATGTGCCACCAATTGGGAATTTCTGCTACTTACCATAGTTTATATATCACTAGCTATCCACTGCTTGATTTACAACATACAATGAAAGTATTTTTATTTTATCAGGTGGTAATATGGGATTTCAGACATAGATACTACTAGCAGT